AATTTAAGGCAGGAACGTCATCTGGGTGTGTGCACTTACAGGACTGCAGGGCAGCGGCACGTGAGCGGGACCTCAGGACCCTTCCTTACACTGGGAAGATGGCCCAGCCCAGGCCACACTGGGGCCGTTGCTGGACCCTCTGCAGGGCTGGTCTCTGCCTCATCTCTGGCCTCCCTGCACCCAGGGCTGGAGCAGCAGCCCTGCCAACACTGCCAGGTCTCCTCCAGGTCCCAATGCCCGGGAAGACCCCACCCGTGAACACCAGCAGCTCCAGCTCCCCCGGCCCCTCTGAGCAGGGCTGTGCCGTCTGTGCCCTTTGGTGTCTGTCCTCTCTTTCCTGCCTGCCAGGGTCTGCCAGGCACCGTGCCTCCTGATCTCGTTCACCTCCTCGACAGGGCCATGGTGTCATTAGTGTCCTGTCAGTTGGCCACCTCCCCAGAGCGGCCATTGCCCAAAGCTCCCCAGGTGGGGGTGGTCAGGTGGGGGTCACCACTCTCCCCCATCCCCTCCCTGGTTCCCTCTGACACACTTAGGTCCCAGGTGGTGAAGGGTCGGGGACCCAGTGTAGCTGGTCTCACTGGTTGCACTATTGGCACCCCCCCCCTTCCTCCCTCCACCCTTATCTGTGTCCCTGGGAAACAGATAGGAGGCCCAAAGAACAAAGCACCTCCCCCCACACACTGAACTGTATCTCAGAGGGTTATAAATAGGACAGCTAGTGGTGGCATTCTGGGTCACCTCCACCAGGGACAGATTGTGATGTCAGCCCTGTCCTTTGGCCCGAGGTTTCCACGGTCAGTAGAGTTCTTTCCTACTTCACGCCTCTCTTCTCCTTTCCTTCCTTCCGTCCTTCCCTCTTTCCCCTCTCCGTGAAATTATGTTCCAAAGCACATAATTCTGCCTCCTTCAGTGAGGCAGAACTTGCCTAGAAAGCAAATGCCCATACTTTACTGTCCCTCTCCCAGCTGACGAAGGACAGTCCTGGGCCTGGCTCTCAAGTCCCCTGCAGGCCTCTTCAGCTCACCCTGAAGAACAGGGTGACTGCCAGCCATGAACTTCTGGCGAAGGAGAGGACAGGCTCCTGCTCAGGCCACCATTTCTTAGCAGTGGGATTTGGGGCAAGTGACTTCTGCACAGGGATAATGTCACCCTTCTTTTCAGGGGGAGTTGACATCATGGGCAGAGTGGGGAAAGCCCCAGAGAAAAGGCAGACTTCAGACTGGGACTAGGAAGATTGGGGACACCTGCTGACAGCTGCAGTCGGGTAGAGAGCCTGAGAACAGGGGGCCCCTGACCCGTGTTCTTGCTCTAACGAGGTGCAGTCAGGTCTTTTCTTTCATGCAGAATGAGTTCTTGGAACCCCATGGCTTAGGACAGCCAGTGTGGCCACTGTTAATGGATGGGCTCCAGGGCTGACTGTCCCTCCAGGAGTCCAGGTGAAAGTTTCTGTGAGTCACGACTGGGAGTCTGGGACGTTTGCTCCAGAGTAAGACTCGGTGACTTCATCTCTCCTGGGTGTGAGGACGAATTGGTATTTTGGTGCTTTGAATCTCAAAATGGAAAGCAACTTGGGGATCCCCAACCTGGTGACCTAGAGAATTGGGCAGTATGGTTGACATCAGGGCGCAGGACGACAGGGAGGGGAGGGCCGTCCCTCCAGTCCAGAGCTGGGAGATTGAAAGGAGGCCAGACAGACCTCTCCAGCCAGACTGACTGCAGCAGGTGGCGAAGCCCAGGCGGCTCCATGTCTGCAGGAAGCATTCTGCTTCCCACAGGCCTCTGAGTTGCACTGAGATCCCCCACTTTCCAATGATGGTCCCTCCCAGACTGATACCCGAGCCATCGGGTGGGGCCAGCACTTGGGAGAATCTAGGTGTTACCCGAAGTTTCTCAAACCTGAATTGAGGCCAAGTTGCAGGCCTGGGGAAGGAGACAGAGCAGCAGGAGATCTCCTTGCTGGCCACACTGAGCTGGTCACTAGCCGGTCAGTGGGCAGCCACTTCAGGAAGCCCCTTTTCTTTGATCTTTCTCGTAGGCAGAGGCCCCTCTGCCTGCCTCTGCCTTCACCTCCCTGTCAAGTAGCCAGGGTGGATGGAGGGGCCTCAGCTGTGTATGAACTTGGCTCAGATGGTCCTGTTCTGCGGGAGTAGCTTGGCGCAGGCACATGCATCCAGGCTTTGCTGTCCCAGCCGCCTGCTGACCTCAGGAAGGGCATTTTAGATGCTGAAAAAAGATGTCTGCAGTGCACCTCACTCTTATTGGTTATGAAATTAAGTTTTGGAAAGGCGCCTGGCACCCAGCAGGAGTTCATCCATGAACGGTCCTGGTCCTCAAAGGCCACGGTCCCGGCTGGGGATGTGGCTCAAGCCGTAGTGCGCTCGCCTGGCATGCGTGCGGCCTGGGTTCGATCCTCAGCACCACATACAAACAAAGATGTGTCTGCCAAAAAAACTAAAAAATAAATATTAAAAAATTTTCTCTCTCTCTCTCAAAAAAAAAAAAAAAAAAAAAAAGGCCACGGTCCTCTCACTCCACCTCCTTCGGGATCAGAAGCAGCTGCACAGTTCTGGGGGACAGCCTATAGGGCGGGCCTGCTTCTGCTGGGGCTCAAGGGGTGGGGGCTGCAGAAGGAATAAGGCACCTCCCTGCGCTCCTCCCCGTCTCTTGCTCCTGGCCCTTACCACCATGCTGCCCAGATCCTTCTGGACGCTCCCTGTGGGTCCCTTAGATGTTCCCTGCAGAGGCCAGCTCTGACCTGTCACAGACTTTGATCTGGGAACCGTGGTGGTCAGGGACTTCTATCCTCCCCATCAACAGAGGGAGACCACGGTTCTGTGTGAGTTGGTGACTTGCCAGTGACCCAGCGGCCAGCCACCTGTGGAGACATTGTCATGTCTGTCCCCTGTGAGTGGCAGGCAAGGTGAAGCACCCTCTGTCTTCTCCATGACCATCATCACAACCATTTCTGCTTTACAGACGAGAAAGCAGGCTTTGAGCGAGACAAGGCAGTTGAAGAGGTGACTTCCTGGCCCAGCATCTGGACGTAGGGTGGCATCCTAGGTGGCATCCGCGAGGGGACAGGCTGCTTCAGTTTTGTTTCTGCCTGGACGCTGCCCAGCTGGTACCTGCTCACAGCTGGGCACTGCTGAGAGGCACTGACAGCTAAGGGGAGGGTTCCTTGTGTCAAACAGGGGTCATGAAGAGAGGGACATGGGGAGTGGACAGAGGTGCCTTGGGGACCTGTGACGGTGCAGCTTTCTGCCTGTGGACTCTGGGGGCTTGTGTCGAGACAGCCTGGCTTAACCTCACCTCGGCCAATTTCTGTGCAGCCATGGAAAACTATGGAGCCCCAGTTTCCACATCTATGAAATGGGGCTAAGACTTCCAGCCTCAGTGGGCTTCTGGGAAGAGGGAGTGGAGTCAAGTGTGTGAGAGGCTCAGCATGGCGTCAGCTGCCCTGTCCGTCAACCCAGGGTGGCTGTGGTCAGTTGTACCCCTCCCAGCAATGCCAACAGACCTCGGCATTTGACCTTCAGATCCAGAAATCCACTTCATTGTGAGGAAAGCTTTCAGGGAGGAAGACTCCAGGCGGGAGAACATTTTTCCCAGCCGGCCACGCACACAGGCTTCCTGTTTGGAGTTCTGTCTTTCCGGTTTAGAACAGCTGCTGGCCTGTGCAGCCCCTGGGCCTCCAGGGAACGGGGTTAGCTGCATCCAGGGGAGGGTCCTGTGTTCCACTCTTTGCTCAGCTTCGCCATGCCCTAGGCATCAGCCCTGTCCCCGGGTCCCATGTCCCCCATAGAGCCTGGCCAGCAGCCCTACGGTGGAGGGAACTCACACAGGCTCTCCTGGCCGGCCCTGCCCCTTGCTTAGCGTCTGCCCGCCCTGGCTACTCCCACTCCTGCGTCAGCTTCCCTGCAAACTGACCCGGCCAGACAGCCTCTGTGTTGATCTCATTCTTCATCAGCATCATGCTCTGGGCTGGTCGGGGCTTCTGACTGGGAAACCACCGTGTGTGCGTGTGCGGCACTCCACAGGGACCGTGCGTGGCTCCTTGCATCTGAGCCTGTGTCCCCCTCCCACATGGTGGGCTCCTTGAGGGTAGAGTCCAACTGTGTACTGTGGTCCCCATTGGGGCAGAGCACACAGCTTGGCACAGCCTGGGCCAGGGCTCGGAGACAGATGCCACCTGCAGTAAGCTGTGAGTTCTGGTTTTACAGTTGGGTTGGGTTTGCAATTAGTTTACACTTCACTACTAGCCATATGACCGTGAGCAAGCACTTGATCTCAAGTCTCCAAAGCTTCATCTCCAAAATAATGAAAATAATTGTATCCACTCCAAAGGCCACTGTGAGAGGATTAACTGGGATTAACTGAGTTTCTGAGTAGGGTTCAAAAGACTGAGTTTCTAGCAAAGTGGTAGTAAGCACTTAAAAATGTTATCTTCTGTTTCCATCACCAGTTTTACTTCATTATTATGAAAGTGATTTCATTCATTTATTTTTCAACCCAGCCCTGAAAAATAGTTGGAGTAGGTAAGACTTTGTGTTTTACCAAGGAGTAATCTCCACGAGAAAGCTGTTCCTGTCAATCACACAGTTTAACCAGACCGGTCTCCCCAGGGGCACACCTCAAAAGCAGGCCACCCTGTTTTGGAATATGACATGCCCACAGGCCTCTGCAAAAGATTCCTGTAATTCACAATGTGCCCTAGTGTTCAGCCAGATTCCGTGTTCACATTTACTCAGCCGATCGTTTTCTGCTTGGAGGGGAACGCTTTGATTTAATAAGCAGACTGGAGTCCTGTCCAGTTTGAGTCCCAGTCCCCAGTCCTACCCAGAGAAGGAGCAAAATGGAAGAACAAATCTCTGATGAGATTTACTGCATTACATTGTGTAGTAGGAAGGAACATCTGACGGAGCGAGTGGCGGATGCACTAATGGGGTCAAGGAAGGAAGATTTATGGGTCCAGAGCAGGAGAAATAAGAACATAACTGTGATTTGTTTGACTGGAATTTGTTTTAATCTGTGCTCCAGCTGGAGCTGGGAGACATTTCTCAGCAGTGCCAGCTGAGGTCCCGAGTTGGTAGCTGTGGCTGTGGGTGGGGTGGGGACAAGTGAAGGGGATAGGTGAAGGGCCGCCATGGGAGGAGGCCGCCATCGGTGCAGGCTGGAGTCTAAGCCCTCGGCCCGTCCACTGCTCCGCTCTGAGGCGGGGTGACCCAGGGCCCGCCTCTCTGGAGGAACCACCTTGTGGTACTTGGTTTCCTCCTCTGTGGTCTCTTCAAGTCACATAAAGTCCCTCCCAGAAAATGGGCCCTGGTGATTTCCTTGCTCGTGTGGCTCCTGTGTCTCAGCCGGCTGCAGGGACGGTTCAGCAGTGAACGTTCAGGGCTGTTCCCAACTGGAAGCTCCCTGGGAATGGTTGGGATGTGGTGACCTGTGGCCTGGGGACTCTTGGTGGGATCCCTCCGGCTGCTGCTAAGAGAGGGGCTGGCCTGGAGCAGGTGGCATAGAGGCCACCTGTGATTCCCTCACTGACATTCCCCTTCCAGTGGCGAGGGCCTGAGAAAGCCTAGGTCCCGTGGCCTTCCATTCCAGACGCTCACCTGCCCGGCCTTCACTGTGGCCACTTCTGAGTTCTTCCATGTAAACCTCCTGCTCCTACCAGTGAGCTCCAAGCAGGTCTGTGTACAGTCAACAGCACACCTGGCCCAGAGCCAGAGGATGCCTTTAGACAGATCTGGGCTCAGTCGGTCACTAAGCCTGTTGGTCCCACCCCTGAAAGAGCTCTGCAGTCTCCTGTTCCTGCCCTTGCCCCCAGTCCTCCTCTTGCCAGTCGCCAGCACAGACCCTCCTTCCTAACATGCTCTGTGGCCATGGCCCCCGACATGGACATCACTGGTGGTCACGTGAGCTGACTTTCTCTGCAGCCCAGCAGCCCCAGGCCTCAGGGTTTACCACAGCAAACAGTTGTGATTGCTGTGGTTCTGAGGTCGGTGGGCATTTCTTGTGGTCTGTGCGTCTTGGCTGGGCTCGGTTGCTTCTGATGGCCTCACAAACAGATGTGGGGGCTCAGCCAGCTGGTGGCCTGTCTCCACGCTGTTCCTCATCCTCTGAGGGGCTGGCTAGGGCCTGCCCAATGTGGTGGAGCATGATCCTCAGCCAGAAGAGGGAACTTGATGCATGAACACTTGTAAAAGCCTTTGTTTGTGTCACATTTTGCTATTGTGCCACTGGCCGCAGCAAGCTCAGATTCGTGGGGTGGAGAAATGGACTCCAGCTCAAGTCGGAAGGGGAGGCAGAGGCCACTGCAGCTGTGTTACGCTGGAAACTTCCGGTGCAGACAGAACGGCGATGGTCTCCGTCGCCGTTGTTGGCTGTCCCTGCCTCTGTGATCCTGGACGAGTTTACTCTCAAAAGCTCTCCAAGCCTCAGCTACCCGTGTAATGTGGGAATGATGGGGGTGGTGACCCTGGGACATGAGGAGGGGCCCCCGAGGACGGGCACGGCGTTGCTCCTGTTGCCAGCTGGTCTTCTCGAGCCCTTGCTCTCTGGCCTTGGCCTGACCTCGTACCTTCACCTGCTCATTGGAGAAACGTCCCTTAAATCTTTTGCTTTTGTCCAATGGCACGTCACCTGTGCCTCACTCCAGCAGCAGCTATAAAGGCAATGGGCTCTTCACGTTCTTCTTCCATTGGGACGGAGCTCGTCATTCCTTAGTGTTATGGCGTGGACACGAGGGGACCCCAGCAGCTCGTGTGTGAGACGATGCAAGGAAGATGAGAGGTGAAACGATTGGGTTATGAGAGCCTTGACCCAGTCAGTGGACTGATCCGTGGTGGGGATTAACTGGGAGGTGACAGAGGTGGGCAGGGTGTAGCTGGGGGAGGTGGGTCCCCGGGGGCCGTCTCTCTGGGGTTTATGTTTTGTCCTAGGTGCCAGGACTGTTTCCTGGTGGCCGTGTTCTGAGCTGCTTTGCCCCCCCCCCCCACTACATTCTTGATGTTCTGCCTCGTCTTGGGCCCTGAGCAGCGGAGCTGGCCGCGTGTGAACTGAGACCTCGGAAACCATGAGCACATCAACTTTTCTTCCTCTATGTTGTCATGTCTTCTGGTCAGAGTGGCGGAAAGCTGGCTAGAACACTTCATTCTCCAGAATGCCCTTCATCCCTGCGCCCAGTGCCCTGAGCATCTGTGCGTCGTTCTGTGTCCTCTGCCCGCCTGAGCTCCTGGGCAGGACTTCCGAGGCCCTCTCTGTGCCTGCGGTGAGCATGAACAGAGGGGTGCTTGTTGGAGTCTGAGTGACCTGACAGTGGTTGGTGGGGTGGGGACAAGCCTGTGGCCAGTTGCCTTTACACAGTCGTGTCTCAAAAAGGCCGGGGATGAATCCAGCGTCAGGGCTGACTTCTGCGTCCCTGCTTCCCTCTGTGCTCAGCTGGTCTTCCCCCTGCAAGTGGCCGCGGGGGGCCCTCGGCATCTCCCAGGCTGTGGTCAGCAAGTCTGTGCTGCCTTGGGCCTGCTCGACTCTACCTGTGGGCCTGAGGTGGACAGTCACTCAGCCAGCTGAGTAAAGCGACTGTCTCCACCCGGTGCTGGTGAGAGGCGACTTTCCAGATTTTTCTGTGGATTATGTTGCAGAGGAGGGGAGATGTTCCCCTGCTTCTCAGTCTCTGTAACTCGGCCAGACACTCTGTAAAGAGGGCTGCCCGTGGAAGAGGTGCATGTCCTCTGTGTTGTCCCTCGGGGACGATGCAGCTCTGCTAAGGTCATAAGCAGCCTGGCTGTTCCTCCAAGGACGTCCTTGCGAGTTCTCAAGAAGATGATAGGGACACCTGGGTGGGAACATGCTTTAATAATGTTCTGTCACCCCCGAGGAGGTCTGGCATGGCAGTCTGCTGTGTCTTGGAGAAAGCTTTAAAACGTGGCCGGTTTTCATAAATAAAGCAACAGAGCTCCAGCCAAGCTGCCCAGACCAAGAGAGAGGCCCGCCGACCCGCAGCATCAGGAGCAGTCCTAACTCCGGCCGTTTGAAGGCACTGAGGTTTGGGACCATTTGTCAGCAGGGAGATCCAGCCGGCCCGCCGCGTCTCATGTCCAGGCATCAGGGTCTCCACTGCCCAGCAGCAGGGCCCAGGACAAGCCTGACGTAGGTGCTCTCGGGTCCTCGACAGAGGAAGGGCGCCCACCCCGTCTAGAGCTGAGCTGTCCCCATGAAGCCCCCACATCTGTGGCTGCTTCAATTTTAATAGTTAAAAGTAAAGGCAGTGAAATACCCAGTTCTCTGTCACACGTTTCAAGTGCTCAGTAGCCACATGGGGACTGGTGGCCACCACATGAGTCAGAGAGGATCCAGGGACATTTCCATCCTCACAGAACATGGCTTGAGAAGATGGTCATCACCCTGGGACCTGTCACTTTCCTCTGCCCGTCCCTAACCCAGCTCCGGCACAGTTGTACCCGTGGAGGCCACCAAGGTTGGTGAGAGGGCCTCTGTGGCTGTTTTCTGTGTGATCATTGGTGAGAATCGTTCTTCCTCTTTCTCTCCCCCACCCCGCCCCCCGTGGCTCTGGAGTTTGAACACGGGGCCGCCCCTGCCGGGCAACTGCTCCACCCCTGTCTCTTCAAGAAGGCAGTGGAATGACTTAAAATCCCTTTGGGGAGCCCGGGTCTCTGCCCGTCAAGCGAGGCACGTGGGCCTTGGGGCTTATTGTTTTGTGTAGGGGACAGAGCAGAGCTTGGAGCTGGAGCCTGCTGTGGTCACAGGCAGGCCAGACGCCCGGGAAGCCTTCCTGAGAAGGAGTGAGCCAGGCCACACGCTCATGAGCGAGCGGAGAGATCAGGAAACGGAGAGAGGAAGGATACAAGCGGAGGACAGGGCGGCTCTGAGTCCTGGAAGCCTGAGGAAGGACCAGTGCACAGAAAATGGGCTGCCCGTCACGCCCCTGAACCTGCTGTGAGGGAGCACGCCACCGAGGGGCCCCATGACCAGGCTTACACAGAAGACCTGGCTGGCGTCCCAGCATCCTGGATGGGACAGGACTTGGGGCACAATAGGAGGTTCCACCTGGTGCATAACGAGAATCAGAGGCGGGTCAGAAGATCTGATTGAAGGACCCAAGAGGGACCAGAGAGATCTCCAGGTGGCCACCAGGTCTGGGCAAAGGCCCCAGCTGGGCACAGGTGCTGGCTTCCTCATCCTCAGGTTGCCCGAGGATTAGCAAGAGGCAGGCAGAGGCTCCGCTGGTGAGAAGAGGCTCTATTGCTCTGTGCCCTGTGGATCTAGATCTGAAAACAGCCTTTGTTTTCTGAGGACTCAGCATTTGGTCAAGAAGCCTCGGTTCCTTCCAGTGGAGAATGGTGTCTAGAAACCAAGATCCAGCCGCTGGGAGAGTGTTCCTCCTGGGGTGGCATTGCTTCTAGGCCCTCTGAGCAGACAGAATCGGGGTGTAGGGGGGAAGGCTCAGGGCCCACGCCTACCCACATTCCCATATCTAACCATGTACGTCATCTCCATCATTTGTAAATTCACTTACCTATATGTTAAAACCGTGTGTTTGCCCCGAGAACTTTCTTGAAATTTACACCTGTCTTGGGGCTGAGCTATCTTCCCATTCCCAACTGCACACCCCCAGAAACCACACTTATTAAGCTGTGGATCAGGCCCTGTCTCAGACCCCACGTCGTGTGCTGTTACCGCTGATGCCAACGGATGAGCAACGCGAGGCCCTGGGTACTGACTGACTTGTGCCAGCTTGCACACCTAGTCACACTGGCAGCCCACAGTGAGCCTGTGAGCTGCAGGCCCGGGAATACACCAAGTTTCAGAGTAAAGCAGGGCAGAAGGTGGAGAAGGGCTTTTCCACAGGTCTCTCTGGCTCTCATGGTGGCAAGGCCATCTGAATCGTGTTCATGGGACACGGCGTCCTTCACTCCCAGAACCCTGTGTGTGGTCTCCGTCGCTCCGATTCAGTCCTCCACGGAGCTGCGTGCAGACACCCGGCATGTGAACGCACATGATGCTCTGCATGTGTCATGAGCATTTCCAGGCAGAGGGTGCGTGGCTGCAGCTCTGTTTGCAGAGCCCTGCCTCAGAGTTAGGGCGTGGCCCCAGAACCCTCCTCTCTGTGAGCCAGTGAGAGCGTTTCCTCTTGTGCCCTGGGGTTTTCCTGGCAGAGCCTTGACTTTAACACATCTGTACCACTGGGACCGGCAGAAGCAGGCAGCATGTGCGTGGGCCAGCGGCCGCCCCTTCATGCGTCATCAATAAGTGTTGCTCAAAGCCGACTGAGTCCTAGGGAGCTGAGCTCCTCGCCAGGGCTGGGGCTGGGGACGAGGAAACACAGGCATCTGAGTGGCAGGGAGGGGGCAGGCGGAGGACACAGCCAGGTGTGGGTGAGGCGGGCTGTGTCAGGTGTCTGGAACCAGACCCCACTGCTGGTGAGAGGGACACGTTGCTCAGAGGTCAGCCGGGCACGCTCTTCCCTGTGGGCAGGCTGTGGCCAGGCCTGTTTTCTCCTAGACACAGTTACGGGCAGGGCCACTCAGAACTCAGGCATTTCCTCTTTAAAAAAAGAAAGTGTTATCAGCAGGCACAGAGACAGCAGCCCGGGCACTCCAGTGAGATAAGAGGGCTTCCTGCTGCTGACCTGAGTGGCAGGGAAGGGCTGGTGGAATTTCCCTTTTAGCAGCAACAGAGGGGAACGGGGGAGCCCCTTGGAATGTCTGAGGCTGGGTGGAGGAGGCTACATGCAGGGGACTTAAGGCAGGGTCCCAGCGGCCTGAGCAAACGGGAGGAGAGAACTTCCCCCTGGGCTGCTTCCCTTCCCCTTCATTGACTCCCTCTCTCACCCCGATCAGAGCATCCGTGAGCACCTCGTGGTCACTTTGCTGAGCACCAGAGGACAAGAGCCATGTCCTCAGAATCTTCATGATTTAAAAGGAAAAACAGACACCTTAATTAGGTCATGTGCAGGTGAAGTTCTGGTTCTAGGGCCTGAAGCTTTTAGAATTTGGAAGGCCTCTTTGAGGAGAAATAATACAACGGTGTGAATTTCAAAGGAGGCAAGCTCCAGATAAGGGTAGTGCCGCTGAGGGGTGGGGCTGTGATAAGGGGGCTTTGGCTGTCACCTTTGGCTGTCACCACCCAGGTTGGAGGCTGTAGGGTAGCTGTGAATGCTGTCTCTCTGGGCATCTGGACCTGCAGGGCTGAGCAGACCCAGGGGCCTGGAAGAAGGGCCATCAGGGGGATACTGGTGCTCAGAGTAGGGGATTTAACTCCTGGCTTCCTGACTTGGGGCTAATGGAGTGGGTTTGGAGACCCTGGCTCTTAGGGCTTCTGGGATTCTCCAAGGCACTCGGTGTCAGTGCTCCAGGCTAACCCACATCTGCCCTGGGTTCTGAGGCTCGGCTGAACTCCAGCTGACTGGGGTCCTGCACTTCCACCAGCCCTGCACACGGGCAGGTACAGCTCCGCAGCCGTCCCAGGGCGACTGCTGCCCTCTCCTGCTTCACAAATGACGGGACTGAGGCTCAGAGGGGGTGCATCAGTTAACCCACAGAGCACAGCCAATAGCCGGAGAGCTGGACTGGGAAGAAACAGAGTATCTCCAGAGCCCAGGCCTCCTGCATGGCAGGCCCTCCTCTCCTCTCTGCGTGGCCAAGATTAGGAGAATGGCTAAACCCAGGACAGCCTGAGGGGACTTTTGGACAGTTGATCCATGCAGAGTCAGGGGTGGCAGCTTTGACCCTCCGGTGCCGAGGCGGAAGGCTGCACTTGTACCTGGGCAGGGAAGACCAGGCGTCAGGGGCTTGAGCCCCCCCGCCCTTGCTCCTTCTCCTGGGCTGTTGGGACAGGCTCCTTCACCAGGATGCCCTTCTGTCCCCTCCCTAGCCTGGGGATACCGTGGCAAGTTAGAAGGGTGGGTTCTGTGGTCATGGCTATGGTCCAGCCGGCGGGCTGCTCCCTGCCTCCGCCGCCCCCTCTGCCCTGCACCAGGGACAACTCCCACAGCCCTGGGGTCTCGGGCGCCCTCACGCCCACCTTCCCTGCTCCTGTTGGCTCATGTGTAGAAGACTCCAGGGTCCAGCAGACGGTCAGTGCTTCGGGGCTCTTGGGATAGTGGCTGGAGGCCGAGGCACACATGAGCTCCTCAGTACCCTGCTCTAGAAAGGCCCACACTGGAGCCGTAGCAGCCAGCAGCAGTGAGTGCCTTCCCAGGTGCCCAGGGTCCAACCCTGGAGGGCTGCTGGGCTGGTGGGGTGATGGGCCTCAGATTCCTAAGTCCCAGCACCTTCCTGACTCTGCTGCTTGCCAGCTCAGGACCTTCACCTACGGCCTCCCTCCGCCCCCACCTCTCTCTCTCTCTCGCTCACTCCCAGTACCAGGGATTAAACTCAGGGGCACTGGACCACTGAGCCACATCCCCAGCCCAATTTTGTATTTTATTAGAGTCAGGGTCTCACCAAATTGCTTAGTGCCTCACCATTGCTGAGGCTGGCTTTGAAGTCACCATCCTCCTGCCTCAGCCTCCCAAGCCTGTGGGATTATAGGAGTGCGCCACTGTACCCGGTGGACACCTTGCTTTCTTATGAATTGGGGCCCACCCCACACCCCAGGGGAGATGGGTATATGACCTGTCGAGGGTTCCAGAGCAAGCCTGGGGTTTGAGAAGCCTGGGGTGCCCCTCTCCTCTGTTCCTCTCCAGTGCTGGGGCTTGGGCATGTATTTCACTTCTCAGACTCAGTTTCCCCATCTGTTAGAAAGGAGAAGAGAATGCCCACCTGCTGGGCTCCCCGAAGGTTAAATGACAGGGTGACACACAGCAAGTGCTGAATAAATGACAGACTTAGATATTGTTATGGTTGACATGGGCCTCTCTGTAGTGGGACCCAGTGATGTGGAAGAACGAGAGCCAGGCCCCCCTCCTGGCCAGCTCTGGTCACAGTGTCTCTAACAGCCCGTGTTACGAACAGGACCAGTAGGCACAGGTGTGGCTGTGGGAATAGAAATCAATATGTCCTCCTGCCCCAAGCAGCGTCCCCTCCCAGTGAAGGGCCTGTGTGGCTTGCTATGCCATCCGCCATCTGCAGGGCCCTGATCCTGCTGCGTCATCTTGTCACCTGCCTGTCAGATCACATACCTCTTCTGGGAATCCTCCCCCTCAATGAGGGCTGTTCCTGCATCTGCCCAGTCCCCTGGCATCACAGCGCCCTTGCTCACAGGGCACACATACTGTCCTGCGTGGGTGGCCCTGTGCGGGGCCCCTTGGGGACTGGGGGCTGTGCTTCCTCTTTTGGGGACTTAGAGAGGAAACACTGGGTCAGGAGCATCTCTGCATCTTCCCCACTGAGTGTGGCGCCCAGAGGCAGCACAGTTGGTCCACCTGCCTCCTCGACAGAACTGGCCCAGCCGCTGGCTTCATAAACATGGCTGGGCAGGCCGCAGGGATCCTGTCTCAGGCACCAGCCGGCCTTCCACACCTCCTCCCCGCTCTGCCTCCAGTTTTGGAGAACTGGAACGGAGAGGGTCCCGTGTCTGTGGACTCAGGGTCCTTTGGTTGTGGGAGGGTCCCCTCCCTGGGCCTTCCGTGTGTGGGTCAGAGTGCCCGCCATTGGTACAGGAGTCTCCACGCCTCCCATTAAGTGAAGCCAACACACAGTGCCCGGTAGTCCACTGCCCTTTCTGAATCAATGGCCTGGCCAGGGGCGGGAGGGGAGGAACCGAAGGCAGCACACCTCAGTCCACTTGGCAAGCCATCGGCCCCCGTCCGAGAGGCTGTGTGGGGAAGACACGTCACCATGCTGCCCAACGGTCTCCAGGTAGACTCCTTCCTGTGGGCACTCCAGTGAGCCTCGGGGCTTCCGGCTGCCGGAGAGGAAGAAGGAAGTCTTTGGGGCTGGGAAATGGTCCACTAGAGTGGAATTGGCTCCCTATACTCACCAGCCTTCCAGACGGGCCCCTCAACAGGAGCCTCCAGGGGCCAGGGCGGTGGTCTCCTTCCCACTGAAGCCGGTACTTGGGTCAAGGAGGGACCCTCAGGGAGTGTTCCTGCAATTGTGCTGAGCACTTATCCTGCTGTGTGGTTGTCTAACACCCTGTCGAGTGGCCCTGGCTTATTTAAGTAACGCTCCTTCCACGCTGAAGTGTAACCCCGTCAGTCGATGGCCACATGCTGCCTGGAGTGTTTCCCTTTATTTGAACCCTGTCCTTGGATGAGTTCCCAGAGATACCAAAAATGTCCTGAGGGTTCTTGCTACCTGTTGCCAACTGTGACTCTGCTGTGGAAGGGAGGTCAGGGGACAGGAGCCAGAGAGACTGGAGGGAGACCCCACAGCAGCAGTGGGATCTGGGATGGGCCCAGCGTCCTGGTCGGGGAGGGGGGCCCCAGTGCTGGGTCAGGCAGATGGGGCAGGGGATTTGCTCCTGGTTTGAAGAGCTTTTTCCTCGTGTCCCTCGTCTGGGGGGAGCTACTGTGTTATTTGGGGGAGAGGTGAGCACTAGCAGATGGCGTGGGGACAGGACTGGAATCTGGCTCACCTCAAGTTCATTTGCAAAATCGGGGTGTTGGTAATCCACAGGCGGAAAATAGCACAAACAAGGCTTGTACCATTCCAGGTGTCCATCACACCTGGAGATCCTTTGCCCTGGTCCCCCACCCCCCCCACCCCACCCCCGCCGCCGGGTGCCACAGAGCAGAGGACTTTCACTGACCTTCAGGATTTGAAGGGACCACAGGTCTCCATGATAGTCAGAGGGCCACCGGGCTATTCCCACATCCCCTCCAGTGCCCAGTGGGAATCCAGAGAGCCACAGCCCCCAGCCCCTTCAGGCACCTTCCCAACAGGGAGCTTCATGCAGCTCCAGCCGCTCACACCTGCTGCAGGCCGGTCCCTGGGTGGGTTGAAGGTACGTGAGAGGAGTGAGGAGCGGGCAGAAGGTTCTGTCCCAGGCCTGCTCCTCTGCTCAGAGATGGCCCCTCCCGCCCCACACAGACTGCAGAGGGGCAGGCTACTGCCAGGTCCAAGCACCGAGGTCGCCCATGCTCCACCTCCTGTCAAAGGGACAGCCTTATGCTCTGCAGGAAGAGCAGCAAACGCCAGGCGCCTTCTGGAAACGCCCAGGACATGTGGAGTGGAGGGCAGCGTGCGTGACACGGCACGGGCCCCGGAGCCACCCCTTACACAGTGCTTGATCATCCCAAGCAGCCTGTCCACACGACTCATGTCCATTTATATGTGTCATATTAGATATTAAAACTGGAAAATTATTGAAATCTCTATTGCATCATTTAAAAAGAATTATAGTAAACCCACCATATGATAACAGAAGTAATGTTTTAATGAAAAATAAGTACCAAAACCCACCCCCAAAACCACTCATGAGAAGGGTGGTTTTGCAAACCCCTTCAGCGACTGACATGAAGGATGGCGGCCCCGTGTTCAGCCTGTCGTGAAGTCACGTCATGAGCCGCCAGGGTGAGAGAAGGCGCAGGCTGTCTGGGCACCCTCGTGAAGATGGCGTGGACACTGGACTCCACAGAGGGCCGCAATGACCCCTCGTGGTGCCTGGACCACAGTCTGCCCTCTGAACTGTTCTCTTTTCCTTGTCTGTTTGCGGTGCTGGGGCACAAGTTCCATACAGCGATTGAGAACATGGCTTTTCAAGCAGGCGGCCTTGGCTGGTGCGTGTTTCTCTCCCATCCCCTCTGACCCGGGATGACGTACCTGCTTCAGGAGGAGGAGGAGAGTTCAATGAGTTAACGTTAGGAAGCTCTCAGAGCAGGGGGCCCAGGAAGGGCTGGGTAAGTTGCGTACCTGAATCCACATGCTACCCATGCAAGCTGCATGCACACGCCTGTGCACACGCATACTCATGACTGCATGCATGCCCGCATGCCGTAGATGGCACACAAGTGCGTTTATACTGTGCATCACAGACACGACACATGCACTAAAGCATTGAAATCTCCCCAGCTACTCCAGCAAAAGCCACCCACTCCGAGTCATTTCTCAGAACTGGAATATTTAAGAGCCAGTTCCTAAGGCAGCTTTCTGTCCCCCACACCCAGAATGAGGGAAATCAAAGTGACAGCCTCACGGCGTCCAGGGTGCCAGTGGTGCATAACTGCCCAGCTGCTGGGCCTCCAGGGCCCTGCGGAGCCCTGCCCCTGGCCTCCTGGAGCCTGGATCCCGGCCTGGTGCGGGGGGAGGAGCTGTGCTTGCTCGGCTGCCTGCTGGAGAGTGGCCACAGTCACCACAGAATCAAAGAGGAAGGCCGCTGCTCTGGCCAGGCTTCCCTGGAAAGGCCCAGGGCCACCTCACACTGGCGTCCTTTTCCAGAAGGGCTTTTTGTCTGGAAGCTCCCAGTGTGAGCCTGACCAAGGCAGCGGTGGTCCCTTAGCCGAGGTCCCTTAGGCTTTGGAAATGCAGGGAACAAAGGAAGGAAAGAGGCCACCCTGGCCCAGGAGGCCCCCTGCAGGCAGCTCCTCCCACCTCCCTGCCTGCACCACAGTGACCCGAGGCCGCCTGGGGAATTCTGGGCGCCCAGGCTGGCCACTGACAAACACGCAGGCCGGGTGGGTGAGAGAGCTGGGGTGCCACACCCCTCTGGGGGACACTGGAAGTGCTAAGAGGAGGAGAAAGAGGTAGGGAGGTTGGCCACACCAAAAAGAGGGTGCAGAGGCTTGGAGAGGGGAAGCGCTGCCCACGAGGGTCCCGGGAGAGCAGTGGCAGAGTGAGGCCACAGCCACCCACTGACGGGAGGCGGGTCCTGGTGAACCTGAGCATGGCGGGCTGGGGGGGCGGGCAGAGGAGGGAGGGTGGGTCAGAGAGGAAGGGACGGGCAGGTCAGAGAGGCCTCAGTGACGTTTGGTCTCAGGGTGCCTCAAGGGCCACAGTGTCTCCTACTGGACGCCTGTTAGTTCTCGTGTCGCTTACTGCTTGCTGATTTCCTGGGCTTCTCTGGGAAATGGCCCCTGAGCCCGCTGCTGGGCCTGGAGTCCTTGCCCTTGACTCCATGGCACCCCATAGGACCCCTAGTGTGGCATCCCCCATGGCAGATGGGTGCCTGTCCTACTGTCCGGCTGACTCGTGATCAGCCAGACCTTTCCACTTTACATCCCTCCAAATGGGGCGGGGCTGGTCCTGATCCTAATGCCCTGCCCCTTTGCCCAGGAGCGTCCTGAGGCCCTTCTGGGATGCAGTGCTGTCACCCCGTCCCTCAAAGCATCCTCCTCTCCCCTTCCGCGGAACACGGCTCACTTGCTGCCTGGCAGTTACCTGGCAGATTCTTGCCCTAGATGCTAAATTCCATGGGTCCAGGACCGGGCCTGCACCACTGTGTCATCTGCTGCAGGGACGTGGGGACCCCTCACGACAGGCTTCAGCCTGCAAGCCCAGATGCCTGGCCCTGCCCGTCGGCTGCAGCCCCCGACCCAACAGCATCCCTCCCTCGGGCCAGATGTCCCCATGCCTGTCCTGGCCAGTTCCCATCGGCCACCAGAGCATGATCTTCCTGACACCATGCAGGGCTCTGAGCAGAGAGGATGGTCGTGACCCTGTGCCCAGAGCCCTTGCCATTGACAGCCGGCAGCAGGGTGCTCTATCAAGGGCCACCCAAGAACCTTGAGGTTTGCGGGCCAGGTGGAGCCTCGTGACCACAGCTCTGCTCTGTGGCAGGAAGCAGCCATGACCTTCCTGAAGGAAGGGGTGCAGTGTGTTCCATGACACACATGTCCTTTACAGACCTAGGGGGCGTAGCTGTGAGGCCTGGGCCCCCACCAGACCAGGACGCCCCCCAGGCACAGCCTGCCCTGTGCCCATCACCGCACTCCAGTGCCTGGCTCCGTGCTGGCCCCGGCCAGCCCCCGTGAGAGCAAATCAGGAGCAGGAGCGAGTTGGTGGCTCCTTCCTGTAGAGCACAGTATGGTCTCAGCCCTAAGGTCTTGGGAGTCAGACCAAGTCCTCTCCTCCAGGTGCACTGTTTCTGGAATGTTTTAGGGAGCTGTGTGGGGGTAGGCGTGGTCTCCGCGGGGTGGCCAGGGGGAGGATTTGGGCTCAGCCCCTGTCCTTAACATCTGGATGCCTGGCTCCTGGCAGCAGCTGCAGCCCTATCCAGGGCCGGTCTGGAGTGACTTCTCAGAGGAGCAGTGATGGCCCGATGGGCAGGGCCAGGTGCGGTGGAGTCCTTGAGCTGTGGGCACAACCTTGGGGGCAGGCTAGCCTGAGCGGTGAGCAGCTTGGGTGCAGCCCTGACATGGGCCCGCAGAGCCTGGGTTTGCACTAAGTACTGTCCTAAGAGCTGTGCACCCGCCATCTCACTGAAGGGTCAGCTGAGTGGTTAACAGCCCTGTGGACATCATCATCTTCCCCGTTTCATGCAGGGCAAATTGCACCACAGAAGAGCTGCTTGGCTGAGGTCACCAGCAGCTCTGTCAAAGTGTGACTTAACCCTGGCACACCGATGCCAGGGTTCTTGCTTATAGCCACCGTGCCAGCTGACACAGATGATGGAAAGGATTCAGAGCCGCAGGAGCCTGGAGTGGATCTGTCTCATTTCACTGCCTCCAACCCCTTGGCCCAGAGGAGGATAATGATGCACAGAGACAGAAGTTTTTTAGCCAAGATCACACAGCACTTCTAGAGGCTAGGTTATATGATTTCTAACGAATGTTGTTAGCTGGCTGATCCGAGGTTGTTCTTTGGCTTGGCACCTGCAGCCAAACAGAGGCAAAGTGTCTCCTTTCTACCTTCACCCCAACTTCCCATCTCCCCTTCTCTTGATCCAGAGCACTGCCACCAGCACTGGCTGGGGAATGGGAGAGGGCAGGGTGAAGAGTGGAGGGCAAGGTCCCTGTGGCCAGGTTCTAGGACTGGCGGACCTGCCATGTTTGCAGAGGGGCGTCCTCAGCTCGGGTGCTGGCCGAAGTGCAGGCTGCCAGTGCCCAGGCAGGCTTCCCAGGGACGGCTGCTTCATGGGAGCTGGAGAATCAGCAGGATCTGCTCATCTGCAGACTGCCAGTGTCACCTGCAGGCCCTCGTGTGGCCTGGTGGTCCAGGGGTCCATCTGGCTGCCTAGCTCTGCCCTTCATTGGCTGGGTGACACTGGGCAAGTTCTTAGACTCTCTGTTCTAGATTTTTATGTGAAAAATTGGAATGGTGATAACTCTCCCAGCTCTTACTAGATGCTCAGGGGTAGGTATGCCTTTGTCTCAGGCTGTCCTGGACAGGGGCCGGTCAGAGCCGAGGTGGGAGTGCTTGGGCAGAGGAGGTGTATTGGGCAGCTTTTGCTGGGTAACAAAGACCACAATATGGCATCAGGGCCTCTTGATATCCTGGGCCTGCTGCTCACGTCTAGTCTGCCATTCGAGTTGGCCTGGACTGGACGGTCACAGCTATCTGATGGCACAGACCGGAGGCTTTGCTCTCAGAGGGACAGGTATGCAGCGCTCTGCAGATCCTGGTTTGGAACTCACCCTGACACTCTCCACATGCTGTGGGCCAAGCAAGGCCCGTGGCGTGTGCAGCTTCAATGACATGAAGAAAATCCCAGGGAGGGGATTCTGAGCACTTGACCCTCGCGAGAGCTTGTAATGCGAAGGCGTGAGGGGCCCATGGGAGAC